TAGTCACGTCAATGGCGATCAGTGCTCCTGGTTTAAGTTTCCTGGTTCACAGAGGTGCACCGCTAAATTCCCTGAGACAGCAGCAGTGATATTGCCTAAACTACACAAATAAATAAAGGAACCAGGAAATACAAAAATATTTTTATAAATTTTAATAAAAGCCCTTGACATGATCTTTGGGTTTCAATTAACCTGATTTTAAATTTTTATTTTGCAATTTTAACCCATATTTTGATTTTTTTTCTTGTTTTTATGCTAATGTTATTCATGCATATTCATGAGCAGAACTATGATGTCATCCAAGGCACTGAATTTCAATGTTCCATTGATTTGTGCAACAGAAAATTTCTAGATTTTTCAACCACTGGTACGGCAAATTTTATTTTCTTTAGCAATTTATTGCTGTGTAAGTATATGGCAATAATCCAGAAAAATCCTTTTCATAGAAATGTTCCCAGATTTGGGGTTCACAATTTGAACATGATTTTTCCTGGATTTAGGGCCTACATCAAAGCAAAAGCCCCCTCACTTGTCCATAAATGCTTGGTCAATTTTTAATGTTTGAAAAAGTGCACTGTTCAGTTCATGTAACTTAAAAGGTGTCAAACAGTTTTCATACAAAACGTGATTCTAAGAAAAATTCATTTCCTGGATCCTTTAAAAAATGTTCACAACCCTCACAGGTATTCAGGCTGCACAGAAAAACGATGTTCCACGTGTCCTCTTTCATTTTCCTTTCAATTTTTAGTGGGTTGACCAATGAATTTTTGAGAAACTCTCACCAAAGAAGACCATCCTAAAAATGAAGGAAATTTCACTGCCCGGAATGGCCAATTCGAAAATGCATCCCTCTGCAAAATGGCCAAAATAGTGCCACTTTCAGACCCGTTTGCATCCAAATTGCTCAGAATTGGAAGCCTTAAGTCTGGGCCAGAGGTTCAGAGCCAAATTTTCTTCAATTTCCCAGTTCCTTGGATCTCAGGACCCTCTAGTATAGAATATTTTAATGAGCTTTGCAGACCTATTTCTGGCCTATATACGCGGCTGCACCTGCCCAAAGACTCCCTGACGACTCTTGATAAAATCTTAGGTCTGGCATCACCCACGGATATAAATAGATGTGACGCACGGGTCTGGGGTCACTTAACGCTCGATGAGGCCCGACGGGTCAGGAAGGGTGAGGCATGACTGGTCAGGAAGAATTCCGACAATGTTTCATTCAAAAGCAGTATTTGCTTTAGTCTGGATACCAGACCCGATGCTTCTGACTACTCTACGAATCAATGGTCCGGTATCGCCCAGTGTCCAAGACTGAAGGAATTCCTCCAGTTTTGCGAAAAAAAGCCGAAATATTCCGCAGTCGTCCCGTCTATATTTTGCATGTTCGGATGGTACCGTTGATGTTCGGTAATTCCAGGCTCAGTCCGTAGGTAGGCTAGCTGTTGAACGTGAACTCCCGTATTCTAACTCAATGGCAGCTGTTGACCCTACAATATTTGAGTTTACACTAAAATTGAAGGTCTCCAGTAATCTCCCTAGAAGAGAATCTAGGAAGAATCAGAACCTGACGACTGGCAAAAAATGCCTACACATACAGGGTGCACCACTGTAATTAAAGAAATCGAATGGCACGCGGGCTCTCAACTTAACTATTGTATTTAAATGGTATGTCAAACGCAATTTGCAACTCTTCAGGTCAGCCTATATCCACAATGGCACGAGGGACATTAGACGTTCAGTTTGAAACATAAGACACAAGATGCTATCTTTGCTATATAAGAGGCTTATTGCTATATTTTTTCACAGTAAACACTTTTTGCTCAATCATGTTATTAGCTTGACCATGTCGCTATTAGCTTTTGCCATATCCAACCGCCAATTGCCTCAACAAATCCTTTGCATAATCTGTCATCATACGGCTACTCGTTATATTCAGTCAGGCCTAATTAACCTACTGCTATACCAAACATCTTTGCTGTGTCAGTCTGAATTACTTGCCTAGTACTGGAAATTATATACACCTCTTGGAAGTGGATGTGTTCTTAAATTCAGGTGGATCCGCGGACATAAACTTAATAATTAAACAAAATAACGACATGGGTGTTTCACAATAGTGCTCCTCCATGAGTTTGCAACGTGCTGACCAATCATAATGCGCGAGATCTGTCGACTCTTTCCAAACGCGCATTGGGTTGACAGATTCTTGGGTAGTTATTGCATGTTATTTGTAATAGGTGTTGTAAATGACCTTAAATTCAATTACGGCCCTAGTGCTTTATGCGCAATATGGGCGATTCACAATAATGCGCCTCCAAGAGTTTCCAAAGCGTTGACCAATCACACCCGCGCAAAATTTGTCGACCCTTTCCAAACGCGCACTGGGTCGACAAATTTCGCGCATTATGATTGGCCAACGCGTTGCAAACTCATGGAGGCGCACTATTGTGAAACGCCCATGTTTACTGAGAACTACAGATGAGGTAGGACAGTGGGGCTTCTTCCTTCCTATTTATAAAAGGGTTGTTTATATTGGAATTTCCGATGTCTTCTTCGAACTCCAGAATAACTAACATTACTATCCTATCAAAGCACTAAACTATGCGTAAAGCTCTGACCAGGAATTACTATAATTTAATTAACCTGTCTAAGAAATGGGTATATGGCATCAACAAAGGTGTTGAAGACGTTGTACTTGATTGTCTTCCTTTTTAACCTTTATCAACACTTGGAGACCCCAATGTCGTATGTGCGGTTGGTCTTCATCAATTTTTCAAGTGCATTTAATACTAACGTTCCTCATCGGTTAATTGATAAGTTACTCAAACTGAATGTTTCATCTAAACCTGCCTTGGTTATTCTTGATTTTTTTGTTGACAGACCAAAGTGGGTTAAGTGCAATAATGTTACTTCAAGAGTCAGGTCTTTGAGTCTAGGAGCACCTCAAGGGTGTGTGATCTCACCAGTTTTGTTTTCAATGTATACTAGTGATTGCCGGCCGAGTCTGTGATTCAAACTGTGCGATTGTTAAGTACGCAGATGACATTGTTATAAGTGGCTTTTTGCAGGATAACGCAGAGGCTTACTTTGAGCAAGTCGAACAGTTTTTAAATTGGTATGCAATAGCCATCACCTGGTTCTGAATGTAAACAAAACCAAAGAAATGGCTTTTGATTTCCGCCGGTCTCAATCTTCAAACCCCCATATTGCGTCAAATATTCACGACCATGGCATAGAAACAGGTATCTGAATACAAGTACTTAGGAACTGTGATCAACGAGAGGTTGAATTGGAAGAAAAAACTCCCAAATTGTATCTGGTAAGGCGAGCCAAAGGCTGTACTTCCTAAGGAAACTTAGGGAGTTCTGAGTGGACAACAAAATCATGGTTCTCCTTAATCAGTCGGTACTACAGAACGTTCTTACGTTAAATTTTTGTGTACCTTTGGCAACCTATCACAAGAAAGCATTAACAAGCTTGAAAGATCTAGGAAAATTGCACGAGTAATCCAAACAGATCTTCCTTCTATTTGTAGTTAGTATGAGAAACGCATTCTTTTGAATATTCATAGTATAGTGCATGATCCCACACACCCACTTCACGCTTGTTTCAACTACAACCAGTCAGGTATTCGACTGCGTGTTCCTAAGACAACTCGTGGTCGTTTCAGACAGTCTTTCATTCTGAATGCCGTCAATGCTTTCAATAGCAATGTAAAAGGTAAATTTACGTTTTCATTGTTACTGTTATGTAATCTATCGTCTACTAAGCGCTTATCCCACAGTAGCGTCTTAAAAGAGTTGTTTATGGGGGTTCCAGCGTTCGTACTGCTTTCTGTTTCTTTTTAAAAAATCTCTTCCTGGAATATCCTCCAAAGGTTAGGCTGTAGGAATGTCTTTAGTAACCGTATGCTTAGTATTTTAATGTTTTTTTTTGTGGTTTTGTTTTTTTGGTTTTTTTGGGGGGGGTCTTTTTGACATTAGGGTGTATTGTGTCAGTTTGTGACTGGTTTTTACCATTTGTATTTTTTAAATATTTTATTTACCCAGTTTTTAGTTTTTGATTGTAATATACCAGTGGAAACTAAATTTCTGTATTTTTTTAACATTGACTAATAATACTAAATGAGTGAATGCTTGAGTTGGGGAAAATTCCAATACATATTATGGAAACAAGGTCTTATTACTGATCACAAGTCAAACTATTATGTCACAATCTCTTTGTACCTTTTTGTATTAGTATTAATATTTAAGACGTCGTTAGACTAGGTGGTGACTGGAACACATTTTTCAATGCAGTTCGTTGTTTACGTGTGGCAGTCTCACAATCATATCTGGATTTATATCATCCACAGAAGAACAACCTGTAAGTGAAATAAAAACAACAGCAATGTGTTAGAAGTGATTTTATGTCATTCTATAACCTACAACCATTTCCCATGTTCAGGGATATTTCTCGTGGCTAGTAGTTTCCACACGTTTGTAAAGTTTTCCTTACATTTGATGGATTAGAAATATTCTCGCATTCCACCTCTCCCATAAAGAGCTCCAGAAGAGATCTTAACAGAGGACTCTTTCAAATGTGCCTTTTGTGGCCAATGGCGTATCACAAAGATTTGGGTCCAGAATAGAAGTGGGGACTTTTTATTTCTTCCCCCCAAAAAGTTTTCATCCATAAAGAATCCCCATCACAATGACAGATGGTGGTATACTCTACATGTATCTTTAAAAGTACTGGCGATTTCAGGTCCTGAAAAAGGCAACAATATGTCCCCGGGGAAGTGACCCTCCAACCAGCCCTCAAGATACGACACTGCTCTGTTTCCCTTTTATCGCCGTATCGATCTTTTCCATTCCCTTCGTGATTATTTCACAAACCTTTTGATTTCATATAATCACATTGCAGAAGAAATTCAGCTCGTTGAACCCCCAAAATTGCCAGATTTCTTTTCTAGGGTGTTTAAGAGTGTATGTCGTTTGTCTAGTCAGTTTTATATAGTATAAACGTTTTGTTCATTTTTTTTAATATAAATTAGTTGCATTCTTTTTGGTTTGTGATTTTTTCCAGCTTCCGCACTGCAGAGACATAGTATACCTATGACATAAGACCTGTGGGATTTTTTATGTTTGCTTTGAAGTTCAACAGTGCGTGTAAGGTTCCCAGAGCCACTAGTCAGCCTAAAGGCCTTAGGCTCAGGCATTCAGCGCCTCTTCTCTGAATCAATCTTGAACATTTCAGACCGGCTAAGCTTATTACTTACTTTCCCAATGTAAACTGTAATTTAAATATTCATTTATTTTAAATCGAATATCTTGATTTCTTTATATACTGGTCGTGCCTTGCTTTACTTATGTCACTGCTGTAAAATTATTTCCGAGGTGTTCTTCAACTGTGTAACTTTCACACCGTTCAAAACATCGCGGTCCTTCTGTAAATGGCAACGTTTATGTCTCCACTTGTATTTTGGATTACGAGTAGCTCAAAGGAAAATACGAGAACAATACTAAATCGGATTCATCACCAGTGAGGGCCATGGCCAAACTGAACTCCTCTCGCAGGATCTCGAGGACTTTCTTAACACCATTCTCACCCTGAAGAAAACACAAAGGTCAAAAGGAAATAGTGCCATTAATGATCGATCGCAGTTGATGGCCTAAAGGCGACCGGGAAGTTTGGGATCACTAAAAACAAAGGAATAGATGAGGATCATAAAAGTATGGTAGAAAGTTTTTGACATACAAGACATCGAATCAATAATTCAGTCTGACACACATAGCATTTTCAAAGAAAGAATCATCATTAATGGAGGAGCTCACTATCCTCGTTTTCTGGAGAGGGCATGCAGTAGGTTCAGCCATGATTGCTCCCTTAGTGTGTTGGTTTTGTGCGGTGGGATGCGGCGTACAGTGGTTGGTTTGGAGTTTTAGGCTCTAAACTGCTTCTCCCAATATCTAAGGTTGAATTCGGTGCTGCGTTAGATACGTGCGGTTGAACTCGCATCGACTAAAATCACTGATGCATGAACTACCCCTTTAAAATCTACGAGAAATGAAATTCAGTATTATTACACTGGCCCTTTTTCTAGTACGATTTGGTTTAACAGCCAGAGTGTGCCACCTACATCGTAAGCAAGCCCCCAAATGACCGGTCGACCGATGAAGACGGCTCTTGCACCCAAGGCAAGGGCTTTGAGGACATCTGTGCCTTTACGCACCCCTCCATCGAGATACACCTCCACACTGGAATCACGCACTGCGTTGACGACCTCTGGTAGTGCGTCGATCTGTTGAACAGGCATGGATTTCACTATGGGCCGACCTTGACAGATTGCTGAATCGACACTTAACTGATTAGCACTGCCCGTGGATTTCAAACAATTGTTACTGTATGCCCATGTGAATCCGTATTGTTTATAACGAGGACTGTAAGCAGCACAGTTTTGATGAATTACTGGGCAGGTACATAAACCTGTTTTGTTTTACTCGAGTTGGATATTTAACAGGTACGGTACCTGAAATCGATTTGGTTTGTGAAAATGTGCCTTTGTGTCTCAGTTTTTAACTTATTTTAAACTTGCCTTATTTTCAATTTTTGTTTCACTATGTCAAAGGGTATTTTACTGCCTTTTGGGGTTTTATACATTCATGAGCAAAGCTTTGATGTCATCCCAGGATGAGAGCCTAAAGGTTAAATTGGTTTGTACCCAAATGTTCTTATTGTTTGTAGATTTTGCTGGACTAAAATTTTATCATCTTTGCTGATGCATTGTTGTTTGCATAGCAATAAGCAAGCGTCAGCACTGTTTTCAGTAAGAAATTTCTTGCTTCACTTTTTAACAGAAAAACGAATGCAGTGAACAATTTCTTTTCTGGATAATCACAGCAACAGCGCCCTCAGTTGTCCAGGAAACCACGCCTATTTTAAAGTGTTAAAAAGTGCACGTTTCAAAAAGGATCTAAAACAATTTTCACACTTTGATGAAGAGTTGTACAAAAATGTTGCACACAAAATATGTCTAAAAACAATTCATTTCACTTACGCTTTAATGGTGGATTTTGAAGTTAAAATGATATCCAACTTTTGAACCTTTATAGCTAGGTCAAAACCAAGATTCACTGCATAATACGTTGCGTTTTGATAAAGTGATTCTCCATTTAAGACTTCAAACATTTCCATATGTCTAAAATATAGTTTACTAAAGTTTGTTTATCCCGCCATCCAAGCCGTTAGTTTTACCGTAGCCAGTGTTCCATCCAGCTGTCTGCCCCCGTGGTTTGACACCAGGATACCAGCAACGCCATGCTTCACTGCCTCTTTTGCATCTTCAGCTGAATACAGAAAGTTGCAAAACAGCAGTAAGCAGTGGTAAAGGCACTTTTTAAGGTCTACTCTTTTTATACGTTTCAGATGTTTTTGCCTTCGAGTGGCTAATGAAATAAACTATTGCTGGTCCTAAGTTCCCACGTAGTTATAAAAACACCTAATAATGAGCTTTTCTACCACTAGAATGATACTTACTGAACATACGACCCCCGTTTAACGCTCAAAGGGCAGATACTTTTCAGTAAGAATCTGACCACCGGCGGCGGAAGCAGGGGAGGGGGACTGCCTGATGGTTTCATCACAACCCCCCCCCCCACCACCACCACCACTTTGAAAATCGTTCCGCTGTCGTTGAATCTCACACCCACCAGAGGTGTTATTTCCGCAAACTCTGGTCGCTCATACGACTAGCAGGCATTTATTATTTCAGTGTAATAATAATCAACGCAACAGGGGACGGTTTTCACCACTTACAGATTTTGAGCAGTCTGCGCAGTTTCTTTCAATGTGCCGTTGAACAGTGCATCGTAATCTTGCTTTTAATTAACGTTATAACAATCAGTCATGTATTAGCAGTTGAGGGTGGCTTTTCAGAAGTGAAAGATAACTCCACCAATACCTTTGGCATCAAATCCACACCTGAGATTTATATACCATGACTCCTCTTTGGTCTTTCACTGACATTGATCAAGCTGAATTAAACTAGCCATAAAATTACAACAAGAGCACTCAAAACTAGTTACGTGGAAATTTCAACTCTTCCGACTTTTGGCAAAAGTGCTTTCTTGGTCGTCACTCGCTTTACTATTATTGAAAGGACTAAGAAAAAGTTCATAGCATTGTATTGTTCAAGTACCTTACACCCTATTCTGAAACACACACATCGATAGTTTTACCTTTCATGCAATCCATGATTAGTACCAGTACCTGCTTTATTCTAAGCAGTGTACTTTGGATAATAAGTCCCTTCGCCCACGTTACTTACTTTTTAAATGGTTTCCATAACATAAAATTTAAATCTGGCAAACTTCACAATGTGATTTTGTGTTCCATTATCCCATAACCTTTCTCTCTGCCCAAATATGAAACAATACAGCTTGCATTTTGCATCTGAAACTATGGCGCAAAAAGATTTCCAAATATCTTCAAATTTCGTCAAAAATTGTGGACATCAATTCATCATCAACACTTTACCTGATTCGTATGATAATTCAGACGAAAGTTCCTGTTTGATAACTGTGATGCTTTTTTAGTTTGAAAAAAATGTTATGAATTTTCCACTCTTCAGCGGCCAAACGTCTGTATGGATAAGATGTTCAGAGTGCGTGCAGTTTGATTGCGTCGTTTTAATACACCCCTGTGTATGACGTCACGTGAGAGTGCATTGTTTTCTTCCTCTAGGAAAGGCTAGAGTAAACCTAACCTTTTGTGCATTCATTGTCATTAAATCTAAATAACAAACAATGTCCTCTGGGAGGACGCTCTACCCAGGCCCTCTATAAACATCGGTTTGCTTACCAGTGAGTATACCCTTCAGTATGATAGGGAGTGATGTAATTTCCTTCAGCCATGAAATAGTATCCCAAGTTGCTGAATCATCAAATAATTCATGTGCTGTCTGAGGACAGAAGGACTCATCGGGGCGTAATGCGTTCGGAAACCTGGTAAAATAGCAAATTAAGGATCTGGGTTTAACGTGACGTTGCCACAATATAAAACCGGATTCAATAATCCACTGCTATGTCGCGCCCATAGAGGGTGTGTGTGCTATTTTACAGTTGAGGTCCGTGGGCATACATTGTGTTGTGTTGGGTATATTTTGAGAGTAAAAGAAATTGTGGGCTACCGTCAGTACCGATGAAAATATAATTCAGCAGGAAAATGCTACCGGCTAAATAAAAGCAAACACGATGCTCTAAAAGTACAGAGAAACGATGAAAAGTGGAGATTCTTTGATTGTCTCGGGCAAGGAGGCAAATGACTCAAACCACGTCCCTGAACTATTTTCCACGGTGTGCAAGACAACGAACGGATTTTACTCGTGCTTTGAGCTGTGACAAGAATGCGATCTACTGCCCAGCGTTTGCAAACTCTGTACATCTGCATAAACATGAATGTTTTACCTTTGGACAAAGCTCTTAATTGTGCAACTCTTCGGCTGTTTTTTTTTTCATTCATCACGATGTATGGCATATCAAGGCACGCTGTCGGCATTATCACTGACGAGTCCAAATGGATTTATAAGTTCGTAGTACAGCGGCGGAGATATGTTGGGTGCAAGCTATCAGATACTACTGATAGAACTATCAAATGCTACAGATATAACTGTCAAATGCTTCA